TTCGTATTTTTTAAATAATATAATGATTTGGAATAATTTTATGTTTTATTTTTCACGATTTTATTTTACTCGCATATATTCTAATTATCATACTATATGTATATAAGTATATTTTAGCACAAATTAATTTCAAATGTTGCAATTTTTTTACATAAATTAGTTGAAAAATTCTTATAAATTAATAACAAAAATATTTAGTAAGTCTTAAGTATATTATGTTCATTTAACGACAAAGATATGTTTTTTATATTGGTTGATAAAATATTAAATGATACAAATTTCTTTAAATAGCAGAAATAACTTTTCGTTCAATAACTTTTCAAAATTTTAAATACAATTTAAATAACATAATGCTCAATTTTGAAACTTAAATCAGATTACGCATTGGCGATTGAGGATTGTAAATTAGCAATTAAAATAAAACGGATTAAAATGAAAATTACTAGATGAATAAAATTTTAATTTTTAATTTGCAATTTTTAATCTTTAATGCGTACTTTATCATGGGCTTTACGCTGACGTATTAACTAATGATTATTGTCACGTGGTCGTGATAAAGTGAGATAGTTTACTGAACAGTAATCTCGAAGTTTAATACACACGGAGAATCTCTCTTTAATCAAAGAAAGACACTGAAATATCCCTTTTCGAATTTGACGAATTTTGAACATATCGTTTTCTAGATAAAAATAAAGGATGTATTTTTTTAATACCAAGTTTTCATTTTTAAGGAAACCCCTCTTATCATAAAAAAAATTATCATTAGCTTATTCTATTTTAAAACAAAACTATGAAAGATAGAAAAAAAATTTTAAATAAACAATTTAATAGTTTTGAGAGGATGTAATATTTATAATTAAAAAATCAAACATTTTTTTATTTGACCAATTTTTAAAAAAATTATTCTAAAATACGTTTAAAACCATTCAAATTTTATTTCAAATATGTTTTTTATTTCCCAATAGTTTTGACGATATTCGCGTTGAAATAGAATAATCATTTTTTTTCTGTAACGGGTATTTCACCTTTCAAAAGTATAAACGAATATGTAAAAAAAATTTAATACGTGTCTTTTTATCATTGTCTACAAAACAACATACTTAAAACTTATTAAATCGGAGAGGGACACTTCAATGTCTTTCCTTATATGAGATGAGCGAACTTATATAGTATCTACACAGAGACGCTTGCCGCGCGGTAAGATGCGACAAAGTAGCCAATAAACTTACAACTCCTAAGAAAAATGACGCGTCGATTGGCTACAGTACAGCAAGCGTGTTCCCGTCCAAGAGATTAATCGTGTGCCTTGAAATAAGATGAAAATGTCAAAAGTGAGCAAATTCACCGAAATACTCATAATTTCCTTGGTCAATTGGTCCCTAGTAAATTCGTTCATTTCTGTAATGTTCACCTCATTCCAGGGTACACAATCGACCCCCAGTATTCAGCCCGAGTGTAGGAGTCATTACGTTTGGTATTTCCGCAGTCCTACGGGATGTCCCGCGGATATTCCGAGACACAAAGTGCACATGCTTTCCACACAGAGATAGTATGTATGTGTCTCTGCGTGCGCGCGCGCGCGCGCGCACTTGTAGAACTCTCTGTGCATGACCACGTTATTAAAAATAGTCCAGGGGTATTATTGACCCGCGCGTCACAACTTGGATTACAGACTTTCCAGTTGACCGGCTTAGGATCAAGCTACAGCTTGTCCCTACAACCTGAAGTGCATCATATGGAAGAATAGTGAGGCGACGATTCTGTCTCGCGCTGCGTTCGCCATCTAAATCAGTTTATAGCGTTTTTTTATTGGCAGAATATTAGTGCGCGCTCAGTGCACTTTAAAGCATAAATACCGATATGCACAAATCAACGTAAGATGTATGTTCGGCGAAAATATAGAAACGAATTGAGCCGCGAAATTTTCTTTTTATCGTGCCATTTGATAAAATTGATTAAGTATTTTATCAATTGAGATATCTCACTTTTACATCCAGATTAGGGTAGCGTATGACGATTTTGATGGGTACTGAGTGCGCACCAGTTCTGTCAATGAAAAACGCTATTAGTTCGCAGATTTCTGCGTTTTCCATGGAGATGAAACCGTGAATCGATGGCTGGGAAAGCTCTGATTCTGAATAGAACTCGACAGAAGCCCGCACAAATCAGTCATGATTCATATTGTTATCGGATATGATTGGACGCGTTGAAAAAATATTCTAAATTTTTTATAAATCATTTATTTAAATAGTACCAACTAAATATTTACTAAATACAAAAATATATTTATTTAGTACAAGAACCATTAATTTGAGATTTAGCAACTTTTTATTCAGTAAATATTTATTTATTTACTGTAATTTTTGCCATTATTAAAATAAATAGATATTTATTAAAATTTAGTACATTTTTTTTTCGATGCGGAAAAACAAAGAAAAATACATCTTCTATAAAATTTCCTTTGATTTCATTATCACACGTTTCGCTTATTTATTTCTTGAGATCTATTTTATCTGATATTTATTTTTTTTTATGAAATATGATCCATAACAAAATGCGAGCACAGCGCGCTAGATATATTTTCTAAAATAATGATAGTTCGTGGGGATTGCATTGTATACATTGACAGATTGGCAATGAGATTTATATGTTCATTTATATTTATAATTTATAGCTGAATGCGCGCGTATAGATTAAAGTATCAGAGAAATTTGAAGCGAGCTACCGAATCGAAATTACTTAAATGTTAGAGCAAACATTCGAAAAAAAAAAGAAATACGTAAACTACTAAATAAACAATTGAGCGATGCTCGCATAAATGAGAAATATTCTACGGTTACAAGATAGAACCGGTATAGGTGAGGAATCAATAGTTGTGACACATGAAAAATTAGATAAAGTCTCAAGGGAAAGGCCATCCCTTCGAGGCCACGATTGCGATGGATCGTAAGTAGCCGAGGTATGGCTAACGCCAGATGTCGTATAGTCGAGGGATACGTCCTGACATTGAGCGGTCGCAACTACTTTGTTTGCGACGGACACAACTAGAATTGGTCACATGCAGGATCATGCGTTTTCGTATAGGCGAGTCGAAAAGATCGGAGTTGTCGCGGGCACGGAATCCGCGCATATACATATAGAATCGTCCGACTGGAAGGGTTGATCTCTGTCTCCTCCAGGAGTAGGTCGCTTTCTGTGGTCCGACGCTTTCTGCGGTCCAGTGACCGAATGTCCTCGTTGAACAGACAGGAGTAACGAGAAACAGAGGGAGAGATGTAAAGCGTTTATTATCGTTCTAAAACAAGTCTTTTAAGAGCATATACAAATAAATGAACAAGACATTTAATAGAAAAAGCACGAGTAACGAAAAAAAGAAGAATTTAACAAATGCATGTTACAGAGTGAAAACTAAAAAGGAATATAGCGAGACGAGTACATAAAAATAAAATTAATGCAAACAGACAAAGAAAACGATAACACAAAGGAAAGAGAGAGAGAGAGAGAGAGAGAGAGAGAGAGAGAGAGAGAGAGAGAGAGAGAGAGGAGAGAAACTGGGAGAGTAAAACGCACGTACACAGACGCAAAAATCAGGATATAGGTGGATGAAGGCAGAGGTCGAGCTTCCACCACCATCACCGCTGCCACCAGCACTCTCCCTTCCATCTCGTTGCTGCTGCGAGCCTGCAGGATGCATCTCGCGCGCAAAAAAAAAAGAGGAGAACGAGGGAAAAGCACGACTCGGACGTGGTACAGCTCAGACCGAAGGAAGGAAGGAAGGAAGGAATCGGAGCAAGAAAGCGGAAACATTATACGCTTTTTCCTTTCCATGTTTTTTTTTTTTCCACCTTCCTGTCATCTTCCTCGCCGATCTCATCGCCGCGCCGCGCCGTTGCGTGCGGCTCGCGGGTCTCGTGGCCGCCACCGTCGGTCGCATGTCGATATTCGAGTGCGCAGCGCAGGCTGAGCAGTGGCTGTGCCGAGCCACTGCGCCGAGAGTCTAAAATTATCGGGTAACTCGCGCGCGCGCGGGATACCGAAGGGGCGAGAGAGAGAGAGAGAGAGAGAAAAGAACAGAGGTGCGGTAGTCACGAGGTTGCACCGCGGAACGGACAAGGACGGTCTGTAACGTCGGCGTTATACAGGAGGGGGCATCGCTGGGATAGAGGGAGACGGTGCATCGCGCAAAACCAGGTGCCTGGACGACGACGAAGGCTCGCGACGACGAGGAAAGGCGCGAAGTACAGTCGAAGCAGTGGGGGGGAGCGAGACGAGAAATCAGAGCGGGCGAAAGTGGGAAGAAGAAAGTCGTTGAGGAGTGAGAGAAAGAAATGGAGTATAGCGACGAAAGGGGGTAAAGAGGTGGGCGTCAGACAAGGAAGGCCAGAGATCGCCCGATAGAGGGAGCGAGCAGAAGAGAGCCCAAGTGTAGTAGGAGTAGTATGTATTTGCTATTACGAGCGTAGTAGGAGAAGAGGGGAAAGTGGGGAACGCGGAGAAGGTGCGCACTTCGCGGGAGGGAGAAAGAGAGAGAGAGAGAGAGAGAGAGAGAGAGAGAGATTAGACAGAGTCAAGCGACCGGTGTTGAAAGAGAGAGAGAGAGAAGGTAATAGTGCTACCGTAGAGGAACGAAGACAACACGAGTTAAAGGGAGGAATAGACTCCTGCGTGGAGTCAAAGCGGATCGAGAGAGAGAAGGAAGGCGATATAGGCACAGCGCGCCCAGTGGAGCCGTGGGAGTCGAGATAGCCGTCGTCGTCGAGAGAGAAGGTGCGAGCTCCAGGAGCAGCTGGAGAGTACGTTATCTAACACCTAGACACTCGGATCGCGGACGTCTCGCGGGCTCGAGAGAAGCACGCGCGCGCGTTGACGTCGTTTCTTTCTTTCTCTCCTTCTCGCTCTCTCTCTCTCTCTCTAATTCTCCCCACCCCCTCTCTCTCGCGCGCTCCCTCCTCATCGTCCGTTCCGTCAAGCGTCGCGCGCGCGAGACACACCGTCGTCGGTCGTCGGGGCCGTGTGACAGCTCCCGCGTGCGGTCTCCACACTCCGTATATACCGAGTTCGATCGTCGTCGGGATAGCGGAACGAACCGCGCGCGCGTAACCGAGAGTAGAACGCGGCATCGTAATCTGGACTCGAGAGGTTTTCCGGGGAGGCCGGCGTTATCCTCGGTGACGAGCAGCCGCCCGCGAGTGGCCCACGGGACTCGCTGTCGGCGAGTCGATTCATCGTCGATCGACCGGCGTCAGCGAGACAATAACAACAGCAGCAACAGCGTCAGTAGCAGCGGCCGAGCCATGGCGGACGACCAGGAGAACAACACGTGCGAGGACTCCCTCGGGACCGGCGACTCCAATACCGCTTTCGCCAAGAAATTGCGGGGCCGAAAGGGCGCCCTCAAGAAGAAGAATGTCTACATGGTCAAGAATCACAGCTTTATGCCCCGATTCTTCAAGCAGCCCACCTTCTGCAGCCATTGCAAGGACTTCATATGGTAAGTGATAAACACCTTTTGTATGTCGATTCTTTGTCATATCTTTAAATCGTATGATGTCTTATTACTGATAACTGATCGATCGGATGCATCGATTAGATACATTGAATTTTTTTCCCCCCCTTATATTGTATATTTATCTGTGGATACAATGAAGAACGATGACTCGTTTCAGCAAAATTAATCGAGAAAGGACTTTGTATCGTTTTTTTTTTTTTAGATAACACCTTTGTTGAGCATAATGGAATACGAAGAAAGATCTTGTGTTCTGAAAAAACAAAAAGAGAAATGATACTTTTCGTCTCCCAAAGATGTAACTCCAGACGACAGTCTGGCGTTGAGTGTAATTTGCAGGCAACTCTTTCCCGAATTCCCCGAAACGCTGCGCAAACGTTTCGCGCGTTGCTATTCGTATTTTAGGCTTTGTGACTGTTACAGTCGTTCCTATCATTAGACTCTCATTATTTGAGCGAGTTCCCGAGAATACGACGATCAACTGTGTGCGCACTGGCACGCTTTGGCTCCTCATAAATGTATCTATGCGTCGAATGCGTTCCAGTAACGATCGAGTTTGCATCCCCGGGAGAAGAGTAGGTGAATGCCTCGGGGAGAAACTCATCACGGGACGGCTTGCATCGACAGGTCTGCTCCGACCCAGGAATGTTCATGAGATTTTACTCCGGTCGATTTTTGATAAAAACGATCGATGTCGCTTGTTTTGGGTACGCTCCATTTGGCGCTCATAGCGCTTATGAGCGTCATTTGTCCTTGTTTAAAGTTTGATAAACAACCCATAAGATAAATGTACTAGTTAGACTGTTAGTGGACCAACAATTATTAAACGAAATAACAAAAATTTTTGAAATTATAAGCTTTTATTAATTTGACTATGTTTTTTTTTTTGTTTACAAACATTTAGTAAAACGAATTTATTCGAAATCGTACATATCATTAAAAGTTTTATATTTAAAAGTTTTGTTATATTTTGTCCAATAATTGGGTAAAGTTCCACTAACTGGCACATTTACCTTACAATATAGATTATTCCGAAAATATTACAGCGATATTCCAACGTTCCAGCTTCCAGCAATATTTCAGTAATGTTGGAAGTGTTGCAGTATTTCGTTGGAAACTTCTGTGCTGGATGGGAACAAAGATGAAATAATTCTAAGAGCGCTGTGAGCAGTAAATGGAACGCAGCCATAATTCCAATCTCTTATCCCATTTAAATTTATGAGTCTAAACCGCCTAAAATTGTGTATTCTTCTTCTTCATTCTTTGAAAAATGAAGATTAGTTTTTTTTAGTCAAACTCTTAAAAACAGGGGGAAAAAAGTTTATGAATATTTTCTTTTTTTTTTTCAATACAATTGATTATTCGATATTTTAAAGCAATGGCCTGACAACCTACATTAAAAAAATGTAGTAGATAATCCTTATTATGTACATATGGCAACTACAATTGACATGTCGTTGCTTTATTTGGATATTTGACGTCAACAGGAACGATCAGTTATGTGTTTGATTACAACGGCACTAATTTTGCCTCGTTTATTTATTCTTTTTTCTTGTTTTGTCATCGGTTTTTGCGCTGCGATAGTTTTTATTTGCAATCTCATGCATAACGAAAGACTGGTAATCTCTGTGATGGTACGTGGAATGATACGCTATTTTTAAATTAGTATTCAATTAACAATGGTGCAGCAATGGATTTATAGATACCACTTGAATATCTCGTTTTTTCTAATACCTGTATTCCATATATGTATATACCTATTGTATAAGATATTCTCTCGATTGTCGAGATGAAAATCGCGTAGAAATTTTCACGATGAAATTACGCGATTGTTCATGACATGACGAAGAAAAAACACGGAAGGGCGTTCCCCTCCCCCTTTTTTCTCCTCTCACCCCTTCTTCTCCCTCTTCTCTCTCTCTCTCTCTCTCTCCCTCTCTCTATTACATCTCTCTCCCCATCTCCACCAGATCGTTAATCGGCTTTTGTACATGTCATCCACTTCTAGCCACCTTTGGACCTTCGATGGCATATTAATAATAGAGTTTGGGGTTAATTATAATAAATAGAGGTACTCGATTCGGTTAGGATAATGCAGTCTTTTTCGGTTAACTTCCCCATTTTCAATTATCTATATGAAATATTGTTTTTCTGTCCCTTGATAAATTACGAATAGCACCTATTGATTTGAAAACGCAGAAAATGCGGTCTTGCCTGCGAAGAAATTTATAAACCGAACAATATACCTATTTTGTTCACGTACAGAAAGAACACCAATTTTCGGTTGAGTAATTTGTCATGAGAAAATTAATTTGTGGGAGTGTTATTCAGAACTTAATTAATTTCTTTTTCCCTACGATCGATATTGTGATTCTTCTCATGTCGTGACGATACAATGAGATATATCCGTCCATCTTCTTCTTCCAGCCGAGACAGACAGATACATAAATTCAGTTAATAATGCTTTCGGACCAGTCGAGCTGTTTGATTAAACGATCCGGCCTTGACGCACTCACGCTCTTCTTCCTCTGTCCGAATTAGAAACCTCTCCGTTGCGACGCGAGAAGTGACGGCGCCGTTTCTTATAAATGTTGTATGCATACATGCGTACGTGCGTGCGTGCGTACGCACGTGCCGACCTCCCATCGTTCCTTCGCGGTAGGACCCTTGGCTCGACCTCCGATTTAATGATAAGAAAACCCTCGGGTCCGTTCTAGTGACATGTTATAATTGGCTTGTTTACAACACGCAATTATTGTTCTATACGTATCTTTACGCCTAGAAGAAAATCTGGAAAGTTTTATGTTAAATCTGATTATGCGAAAAAAAACTTTTTTTTTATAAATAAAAATTAGAATTATGAAAGCAATATGAATTTGTCGTTTGAAATTATATAGTAGTGCAATCGTAAATTGATGAGACTATTATTACTCTGATAAGTAAATAGACAATATAATACTAAAGTGATTTGTAGTGTATATCCGCGAATTCAACTAGCTGGATTTATTCGTGAATTTATATGCAGGCATTTCTCGTATTAAATTATAAAAACTTTTATATTAAATTGCAAAATTTCTATGCAGACTATTTCTCGTATTAAATTATGAAGATTTTTATATAGACTCTCTCTCTCGTATTAAATTATAAAGGCGTCTTCATTAAATTACAAGCCTTCTACGTAGTACTTCCTATTAAATTACATATAAATAGAATCTTATTTACAAATAACTTATTTATAATACTTTTTGGGGATTATTGTATAATGTTGTATTAATAGGAACGAAATTTCAATCTGCTGCCATATATGGATGGTTCTGATATTTCATATAAGTACTTATTTTCTTAATATTATTTATAAGTTATAGAATGTATGCATGCATTGATGAAAAATAGAAGACCTAAATGACATTAAGGAAATAAGTACTTTGAAAATTTCGTTCACGTTGTTACAATCGATCCTTAGTTACAATTCGATTAGATCGAATCCCATTTAAATTGGAAGTTCTGTAAAGGGATGGAAGGACGAACGTAACGCGTCTATGCATAAATCTCTTCTATTTCGAATTCATAGAACAGTATTGGTTGTTTTCATTTAAAGATATTGATGGGATACATTGACATTTATGACGTCGGTATAGATAGGACAGACTCATTTGGATACTTCATATCATATTTGTAACGATAACGACCAATGCCATTCTCTGATTTATGGATAGGAAGATTAACGAGAGACATTTTTCAACAAATTTTTGTTGAAATAATTTTGTACATCTAAACGTATATACATATACATATTTAGTTTTATGCATACATTACATAAATGTAATTAGTCGAAAGTATTAGTTACGTGTTTATCGAATATTCGAATAGAAGTGACTTCTTAGGTTCTATTTATGTTACTTGCACTTTTTGCACTCAGTATCTTTGCTTTGTTTCTCTTTAACGCCTAAATATATTTATCTCATTTGAAGTGAATTTTTGGGGAATTTCAAGTAATACGAATAGACCTCTTATCTCATTGCAAAATGAAAGGAATTCATTTAATATTTAAAACAAGACACAACTATATATCGAAAAATCATACGCTCGCCGATCGCATACGAAAATAATCGAAAAATTCACGACACGCGCAACGTCGTGTTCGGCATGATTTGCGATTGTTAATATTCACCCGCATCCGTGATCAACGACCTTGCCGATTGATGGCGTGCATTTGTTGCATATTCTGCGATTGTAAAGTACTGTAATGAAGAAATATATTTTGCAATGATGTATCCCAGGTCGCCCCCGTTGTATGCTTGCATCCCTGCGTCTCTTTGACAGGTCTGCACTTTCGTCAGCATAGTATCCGTAGGCTAGACACGTGCTATTGACGTTGAAATGTATATTTTGAAAGTTGACGAAGTATTTGCATACTACTGTTTCATAAAATTTTTACACAAAAGGAGAGAATGCCGTTGCAAAATGTTTCTGTCAAAGAAAAAAATTTTATATTTATTTATTTGTTTCTGTCACAAAGAAAAAAGTTTCCGTTATGTTAGTGTAGCAAATAAAAAACGTTTCGCAGGAAATTTTTTTTTTCCGTATAAAATTATACCGCAAGGGTTAGGCTTTATATCATGTTTTAGTGTTATTGTATGTTTTCTACCTTATACCGTGTGTTAATATTGAAGATTGAATATAGGATCCGTCGGAATCCGTAACCCTAATTTTTCTCTTTCTTAATTTATATATGTCTGTTCCCTCTTCTCTCTTTATCCCTTTGGAATACCTTTTTTTTTTCCAATATTCTGTATTTCAATTTTTGTAGAAACTTCAAAAAATTATCATTGTTCATGGATGTTATTTCACGTCTGCTTATAATTATTGATTTTTCTAGTGATAATTATTTATAACAGAAGATTCGTAACTAATAATAATTTCAAGTTGTATTCTGAGATATAAAATGCTATTTTTTTATATCTCTTTTATTACTATTGTAGTAT